GAACCACAGCTTGAAGGAAAAAGAGGCTTTCACAGACCTGGGGGAGAGGAACAGGCTGGATTTCACATCCAGGTTCAGAAATCCATTTCTGCTCTGGAACTCAACAAATTTGTCAGGCTGAGCTATTTGGACAAGAACAAATACTGCCAACATCTCCCTGCCCTGCCTTTACCTGTACAGTCAACATTAGCCTCTCTTTAAAGTGTTACAGAGCCTTAAGTATCTACTCTCCAAAGATACAGCCCTTCCAGCAGAGTTGCAAAGGCTAAACCACACGCACACCTTGATTTTCTAATGTCTTTCACATGGGTGAATAAGAAGCAAACAAATCACTGCATGGTATTTGTTCCTTGTGGTGCAAGGAGGTTTGAGGAAGGTTAACATTGAGCAGGCACATTTCTGCAGGGTCGAGGCATGCTTTCTAAGTGTTGCAGGAAAACAGAGAAAAAGTGCATCGTAGCACAATTTGTTTGCTAAAAGACATGAAATACAAATGTGTGCACAGGCACATTCGGGTGCAGATAGTCCTTAAGTGTTGAGCTTGTCCACGGCCTAGCTGCTGGTGTAGACTGCAAGCCTCAGACCTTGAGAGAGGGCAGGCTAGATGTTCAGACTGCTGCTGATGATTTCATTCAAGCGTTTCAGCTAAACTGCTACATTCACCTCCTTCTGCAGAAAACAGAGAAAACCCAGAAATACATTTTTTTTTCTGCTGTTCCAAACCTATACCAGTACTCAACACCGCAGTCATTGGAAATTGAGGCTCATCTCAACTCTATGCAGAGATACCCAAGGCAGTACTACACATTAGGTTGAAATATTTCCAAGCCTTCAGAAGACAAATCCCACATCCTCTAACTTCTGTAACAAAGCCACACAGACTATATTCTTGAAAGGCAGGCATACACCTAACCCCACTCTCATACAGCCGCAGGGGGAGTGACAGACTGAACAGGGAGATGACCCAAGCTCTTACAGCACAGGGAAAACACCAGTATTAAGATGTTGTGGGCTGAGACAGTGCTGCAGTTCAACCCTTACAAGCATGAAGCAATGTCTGGTGCAGGGCACCTTGCACCTCACCATGAAAAATGACTACCAGCAGTTTAGTGCTGCTGTTGGCAGAATAACCCACCGATTGCCTGGACCTCCTAGGACTCAAGGAGAGCTCTTTGCAGCCACACCCCTATGCTGCAGTGGCTCCAAACACAGAGCAAGTGAATGGGAAGGACAAAGGGAGTACCCAGTTGCAAGACAGTGCAAAACATAGGACAAGCACTTTCAGCCTCAAGTGGTAATGCAGACACAGTGACTAATTAGTCCTGACCACCATCTGCCACCACAAGTGGAGCAGTTCATCTGCAGCAGTGGCAGTAAATAGCACTGTTCTCATAAATAGCCTTGAGATGCAGGAGGGAAGGGATAGAAAAATACAGAGGCAAGACCCTACAGCACTTGTGGTGCTCTGTTCATTCCTCTCCTGCTCATCTACAATGTCTTGGCTGGAGCAGCTTTGTGGTTGTCTGATGCCTTAAATCCACCACCCGGCACTCTACTGACACAGGGGCAGTTTCTAAAGAGGGTCTGCACCTCTGCTGAAAAATTTCTGGGCAGGCTGCTGGGTTCAAGAAGCAGCTGGGGACAGCATTTTAGATGGGGCACACCACTCCCACCCTGACACTGAACCTCGGCATCCACTGAACCTCCAGAAGCCAGATCTCTGCATCCCCACTTGAGCGCATCACCAGTCTGCATGCTGGGCAGCAGTCATCTCCATCCAGCAGTGCTCTGCCAAGGGCCACAGGACCCCAGTGACACTGGCCTCTGGCCACCTCTCGCTGCCACTCACCCCCCGTTGAACTACCACTGCCAGAAGTTTCTCTTTATCTTTCCCCATCACTCTCCCAGCACCCAAACCAGCTGAATGCACAGAAGCAAACAGGCAGAAATCCACCTACAGGGAATAAAGGGGAGTACCAGGATCCTCTTAGGCGATGGCACCAACCTGCTGCCACTGCTGCATGCTCCCGCAGCTGTGGGCAGGCCAGGCCAGGGTCCCAGCACAGCACAGCTCTCCAGCAGCAAACTTTCTGGGGGGCTACTGCTCGATAAGCTCCTACCCTCTTTGTTTTGTTGAGGCAGAGCCAGCAAAGGCTGCTGGGAAGGTCACCCAGGAGGAGACTTATATACCCAGAGGGAGGAGCTCTCTCTTAATTCTTTCAGGGCAGCCTTGCTTCAGGACCATGAGGAGCAACATCACCTCTGCATTCTCAGAGCGCTGACCTGCCATCCATCCCATTTCCCACCACCCCTGTGTCAGATGATGGAGGATAAGCCCTACAGGAGGCAGCAGTGCTGTCTCAAGAGGTCCCATCCAGACCTTGCATGGGACTGCAGTGGTGACCGTGGGCTGAGCTGCTGGCATCTACAGAAGATCTCAGTGGTGCCGTTCACTGAGGTGGACACATGCTCTGTCTGACCTGTTCTCCCAGACGAGATGTTCAAATATCTCTTTTTGCTCAGGCTTGGCCTTAAGGCTCAGTCCTGCTGACTGTTCAGCAGCCACTGGCACCCTGGTGCCACAGTCCTGGGGATGGTCCTGCTGCTTACAGCTCTGTGGGGAGCTGCTTCAGGGAGACAAATATTAGGAAATATCTTTTTTTTTTTTTTTTTTTTCCACAGTAGCATTATTTTTCTGTTTGTTCAGTGAATTCACCTGACCACCCTTGGAGAGATGACAGCCATTATGTGAGCATAAGGGTGTGCATGGCCTTGGAACCAGCCAGCCAGTATGGCTTTGCTACAGCTGAAAGAGGATAAAAGTTTAAATATCATGCTCTAAGGCTAACAGCAGTCAGCAGAGTAAGTGGGCCCAAGCCTGGTGTCCATTCCCCCATCCGAAGGAAGTACAATCTTTCCTGTGGGTCCTTTTCTCCACAGCAGGCTAGATTGCAACTGAGCACTAAAAGGCTGTCACTAAACAGTACAACCTGCTGAAAGCCACAGGTCCTGTGGGTACGGCAGGCTGAAATATCTGCCTTGTCTTTGTGGGGCCTAATCTTTAGCCCATATTGCCATTTACTGAATCCAAGTGGTGGCACTTGCCATCTTCCATAAAGTGTTTTCAGATTAGCAGCTAGAATGTGCTACACAAGAGGCCTGGAGCACAGGTATGATGAGGAACACCTGAGGGAACTGGGGGGGTTTAGTCTGGAGAAGAGGAGGCTCAGGGGGAACCTTATCACTCTTTACAACTACCTGAAAAGATGGAGCCAGGAGGTGGCTGGTCTCTTTTCCCAAGTAACAAGGGGTAGGAGAAGAGAAATGGCCTCAAGCTGTGCCAGGGGAAGTTTAGACTGGATATTAGGAACAATTTCTTCCCCAGAAGGGTTGCCAGGCATTGGAACAGGCTGCCCAGGGCACCCTGGAGGTGTTAAAGGATGTGTAGATGTGGTGCTTGGGGGCATGGTTGAGTGATGGACTTAAAAGTCTTTTCCAACCTAAACTATTTAATGATTCTAAGGCCATCATGACAGTCTGCTGATAGCCTTCAATAGGCATAGCCCGGTTTTTTGTTGAACCCATGAAAACTTTTAGTAGGCTACCACATCCTATGGCAGGAAAACCTGCCCTTTATCAAACTGTTACGTGAAGAACAACTTCCTTTTGTGTTTTTCTGAGCCTGCCCACAGCAGGTGTTCTTGCAGCAGAAATCAATTCTCCTTTCCACACAAGATCTTACAGACACCAGACCTATTCTCACTCACATTTTGTGATGGAGTTACACAGGCCATGTTCTTACTCTGTGTTTAGGAGGTGGACCTGTCTTCTCTTCACAGCTGACAAGCACACCTGCTCCTCAGAAGGGTTTGTCATGTTTAGGGCCCTGCATTAGGAATGGGGTCAAAGCACACTCCCGGCTTTGTTCCTTTGAAGTCAGAAAAAGTAAGGCAGCCAATACAGCTGGAACACAGTGTGATGGGTCAGAAGACCACTACCTCCAGTGGCAAATTTCCCTGTAAACAGCACACGTTTTGGTGGGGAAAGGGAAGAAGAGGTGGGGGGACAGGAAAAGAGAAAATCCCATATAAATCTTTGGATTTATAGAATACCACTGGATGGTGCTCCATGTTAGGTCTTTCGCTTGTCTCTTAACATTCTTCTTGCACTTGTGCAGGCCAGGCAGCAGGTGACTCCCCTCCTGCGGGTGCTGTCCCTTTTTGCTCCGGGTATCCTGAGGGGACATGACTGCCACCACCTCCAGTTACAGAACTGAGCTGAGATTAATTCAATTGAAATTTGAATCTGCAACCTGGGCATGACACTGGGCACGACACCAGGCACAGAATCCACCTACCAGGGAACACCAACAGTTTGCTGAATTGTCAGACTTGTGAAGAGTCAAGAGTTGAAGCCCTGGCTGCTATGATGATGATGATGACGGTGACAATGATGACGACAACTTGAGGGGAGATCTAGATTAGACATTAGGGAGAATTTCTTCCTTGTGAGGGTGCTGAGGTGCTGGCACAGGTTGCCCAGAGAAGCTGTGACTGCCCCATCCCTGGCAGTGTTCAATGCCAGGTTGGATGGGGCTTGGAGCAACCTGGTCTAGTGGAAGGTGTCCCTGCCCATGGCACAGGGGTGGAACTGGATTAGGGTCCTTTCCAAGCTAAACCATTCCATGGTTCTATGATTCCGTGGGGCTAGGCAGGTCAGAGATCCCTGCGTGAACGGGGCTGGACACACTGAGCTAGACACCTCCAGCCGGGGGAACACTGGGTGCTCCAGTGGATGTGAGTGACTTCTCCAGGGCAGAGCTTGTCCTGCTAGCCAGTGTCCTTGGACATGACCACAGCCCATCAGCTCTGGAGATCCCTGATGAGCAACTGAGGTCCCCTTGCAAGAACGCACGGGCCGTTTCCTTCTCCTCCCACTCCTACTCCCAAAGACTGTTGGTTGACCGCTGCCACCATCAGCCCCCCGCCGCTCCGGCACTGGCCCTTTAAGCCCGCCCTGCTCCCTTCCCCGGTGCGTGACGATATCAGCGTGCGCCGCGCCCCTTTCCGTGCGCGGTGCGTTGGTTAAGTGCGACGGTTTCGTATTGGCGGTTGTGGCGGGTGCCGAGGATGTGAGTGGGGCAGGGGTTAGGGCCCAGGGCCCATCGGCGTCCATCCAGCTTGGCCGCGGCGCTGAGCGGGCCCGTCGCTGCGCGGGGGTGCTGAGGGTAGCGCGCCTTAGCTGCCGAGGGGGAGATGGCGGGTCGAGGATCAGCGATGGCGCCTCGGCGCTACGGCCTACCGTTCCCGGGGGCGGGGAGGGAGGCCGGGGGGCGGAGCCAGGCGGGACCGGGTCGGGGCCTGGATGGGAGCTGGGACCAGGTGTTTAGGCGCTCCCCGCGGCTGGAGGAGCGCTGTGCGGACCCGGGGCGGGTGGCGCGGGCCCCGGGGTGCGGGATTTTCTCTGAACCGACTGTGTGCTTGGTCTGTGCTTTTCTCTCCCTGTTCCTCAGCCCGCGCCTTGGCTTCGGTCGTAGTATGGCAACACGTACGGTGCGGTCAGCAGCGACAAGCCCTTGGTCCGCCCGGCGCCGTAACGTACCCCATGGCGTGCGAACCGGGACGTGGAGCTGGCTGCCCTGCGCTCCTGCGGCCCTGCGCGCTGTAGTTAGCTAGTCCGGGTCGGCCGTAATTTTGCAAAGAACTGCTGAGCATTGAACCCTCCCGTCACATGAGGAAGTCTTTACCGTATTTTGTAAATGAGGATCTGAAGCAAAATGCCATTAAAGGACTTGTCTGTAGTCAGGCAGGAAATCCTGGGAGAGCTGAGTTTCCTTCCTTTGCCACAGAATCGCAGCTCTCTTAAGAGTGTAAATCAGCTTTTTAAAGCAGAGAAGTGTGCATGTATTAAATGAATGCTTGGCCTGTGTAGACTGCTCTTAGACTTGTTTGAGGTGAGTGTTGCGAAAACATTGGCTGGCTAGGGATGGAGAGGATTTTGGATTGTAAGAAAGCAGTGTGTTGCTTAGAAATGAGTTTGCTATACACCCTCCTGTGAAGACCATGGTTTTGTGCTTTCCATATCTTTCTGTGAAATCTGAACACGTGCAGGTGACAGTCCCACAGGCTGTGTCTCTTGGACTCAGGTTTGCAGGTGAAGTAAGCTGGCGAATGGCATTTTTGACATAGGTACATATATTTCGGTGGAGAGAAATGCTGTTTAGTTTGGAGGTGGCTTAAATGCTGAAAGTAACACCATATGGAAGTTTGCTGACCATGCAGACATCATGTGATTAATTTATCTGATCTGAGGAGCGGCACCAGAGCTGTAGCTGTTTAGCTGAAGTATTTCCTAGTGCTCCAGCAGCAAAGCATGTGCTGGTCTTCCCTTGGGCCCTCTCTCCCCCTCCCATTAGGGCTGAAACAAGCTAGCTATCAGGTGATATGAGATAGTTTTGCATGGCTGAGTTGATAGTATCAGCCCTGTGATATCCACAGGTGCAAGGTAAGTTGCTGTGTAGGAAGATATAACACAAAACTGGCTATGGTATATTTAGAACGAGAAAGAAAGCGATTGGTTTTTTTGGTCTTGTGAGTCCAGAAACATGTCTGCTCTGTTATTCAAAGTAAGTCAGTGAGTCTCATGCAGTGGCTTTCAATTTTGAACTTCAGTGTAGAGGCATGGAGCTGGTTAGAAATGTTGTAAAGCTGAATGATGTACACAGGTTTGCTTTTTTAGTCACCTGTGCAACACCTACAGAGCAGTCTGTGGACTGCCTTCTAATCACTGCTGGTGTTAGGGAAGACCTTTCCTCTCCCAGCAAACCTTGTGGTGTCACATTTGTGTTGTGGGTTTTCTGTTCTTCATGCAAAACGGCATTGGTTTTTCTTGGCTTCTGGATCTGTGGGGAGCTGGATTTGTGAATATTTGTGTTGCTTTTTGGAGTTATCGTGTTGTGGAAAGCTGTGAAGCTGAAAATCAGGAAAGTGAGCTCAGCTGTTGAGGAATGAACAAACATGAATTTGATTGTAGTTTAGAGAATTAAGTAATTGCTTACCAGAACCTGACACCAGAAGTGTAGAAGAAACAAGACTGTTGGATGCAGTGGACTAGAGAGGGTTTTTTTTCTTTTCCTTGTTAGCTAATTTTGCCTGTGATGCATGTGGAGGTACAGATGTTTCTAACATCATGCATTACTGTGGATATTCAGTGCCACTTCAAATGGGCCTGGCAGTTAAGACATGCTTGTGCCTGCTCTTCCGTTTCCTGCATGTTCCATTTGTAGTAGCTAAAGGGTGTCACAGCAAATCAAATCTGCTACCCTCTTTATGTGCTTATTAACATAGGTTGGAGGCAACCATGTAATCCAGGTGTTAAACAATCCATGTGGAATGGTTAAAATGCAACAGCCTGTTTAGATATTGCAGAATATGTGGTGGATGCAGCCTTTTCATGGGAAACATTCAACTAATGCTCAGTATTTCAGTGTTAAATAGTGGGGTGTTAAATTTGTCTCCTTTTGGAACTAGTGTAAAGAGAGAACTGATTTGGGTAGATAGGTCAGAATCCAGTTCAGCCTTTCTGCTAAGAAGTTAAAGCAGGATCTGCTATTGCAGCAGTACAGCAAACTGGGCCTTTTAACCTGGTCTTTCCAGGGCTGACAGAGCTTTGGGAACAGCAAGTTGACACTGAAAGCAGACAGAATTCAGTAGCGGGGGGGTTGTTCTGAACAACCCTTTCTTCCTGACAGACATGATGTACAGCACAGATTGTCTTTGGAGAAAAAACAGTGTTTACTCCTCCGGAGACAAGGTTGTTACGAAGGTGCATGAGCTGCATGTGCATCTTGCCAAGAAAATGGCTGTTCGCAGTCTGCCATTCTTTGGATAATTAAGATCCTCTGTACCTCTGTGAATGTCATATGAGGTGGAGACTGCTACACTAGGCACAGGGTGCCATGCAAGGGGCACAGAGCCCCCGTGTCAACAGTGGTGTGACAGTGTGATTGAAGTACACTGTGAGAGTCAGTTGATGCCCAGTGTGCTGCTATTGCTGCAAAGTAGGTTTGTTGTTTTGTGCCTATCTATTAATTTCTTGTTTCTAAACCCTCTTATCTTGTCACTAGGCTGTTCTTTGGAGTTTATTGCACTCGATTAGGGATCGGTTCTCAGAATCAAGGAGTTAGAAGTGAGATTTGAGATAAGTGAGGCCCATTCAGTGCTGCTTTGGACACCTCCGAAGGGAAAATGGAGTTATCAGGATTGAAAAAGAAGAGTTTGCTAGGACTCAAAGAAAATAATAAAAAATCCAACACTAGGTAATCATTCTGTCCGAATTTTCTAGGTGTAATGAACCTGGGGGTGTTACAGGGTGCCAGGGCTGTCCCAGTGAGGGTGAGGAGTTGAAAATGCCCCTCTTCCCATGTGAGTTTCTGTATTTGACAATTTCTGTATGCTATAGCTGTCTTCCTCAAAGCTGCTCTGCAATGTATTTTCTTTTTTCTAAGAAGTCCAAACTTGTCTGATGCTTTAACTCTGCAGTTACAGTGATTTTTGAGTTAGAATTGAAGTTCAATGTTTTGTGTTGCTATTCTGTTCTTCGGGCATGGGGTATTTTGTTGTTCATGTTTCTCTGTATTATAAATGTCTTCTGCAATTTGTTCTTGAAGGGCTCCTTCACCAACCAAACGCAAGGATAGGTCTGAAGAGAAATCAAAGGACAGGTCCAAGGATAAAGCAGCCACTAAGGAATCGGGTGAAAAGGATCGTGGTCGAGACAAGACACGCAAGAGACGCAGTGCTTCTAGTGGGAGCAGCAGTACTAGGTAGTTACTCCTCCAGGCAGTAAGAAATCAGTGTTTTCAGAAACCACCAGTTTGATTTCCAGTATGTTTCTATTGAAGGCTGGCGCCATGTTAGGCATGGTGCAGGTGCATCTAACTGAAGGGGTTGGGATGGTTTAGGTGTGAGTTTCCTTACGCTGTCTAGTGAGCTGTGCAGCAGTAGTTTGCATTGTTCCCACTCACAGCCGCTCTCTGGAATTATCTGAAGTTTTTCAGCCACTCTTTTTTTGGGTATTCCACTCATCTTTATTCCACCCCATGCTCTAGATCCCGTTCCAGCTCAACTTCCAGTTCTGGGTCCAGTTCCAGCACTGGTTCAAGCAGTGGCTCCAGCTCCTCTTCTGCTTCAAGCCGCTCTGGGAGCTCCAGCACCTCACGCAGTTCCAGTTCCAGCAGCTCCTCGGGATCTCCAAGTCCATCTCGACGGAGACATGACAACAGGAGGCGCTCCCGCTCCAAGTGAGTTTTATTTGCCTTCTGGGAATTACCAGGTGGCAGGTTCTTTTCACATAGATTGCAGGATTGTGGTCAGAACAGATTGTTTTCTGAAGACCAGTTGCTTTCTTCGCAAGCTAGAGATCTGAATTTTGTTAGGATGGGTGTGCTCCTTTTGCTTATGATTGAAGCATATTCTCTGTAGGGGAAGAGGTTAGAATCACTTATTTTAAGATGAGTAATTTTGAACTTTGTAGAGGCATTTTTAATCAGTGTTTACCCAATAGTATGGGTCTGAATGGGGACTGGATAAGAGTAAAGCTCTTTGTTGCCTGTAAGTTACAGCCAAGACTTAACAGAAACATCAGGGCTGAAAATGGTGTGTGTGTTCTTATGTATGAAAAAAATGAAAGGCGGGGGGATGGGAGCAAGGGATGCATTTTCCACTAAGGGTTCAAATCAAGCTCTGTTAATGTCCATACAGTTCTTCTGGGCAATTCTGTAGGTAGGGTGCTGAAGGCTGATAAAAATCTACTGAAGTATTATAAGCCAGTGTGGGGTTTTTGGTTGGGATTTTGAGGTTGTTTTTTTTTTCTATCACTCCATTTATGGAGAGTAAGATTAGAAAGAAGCATAAATCCAGATTTTCTGCATACTTATTTTTTTTACTGATTAAAGTTACATTCCAGACTTTTTGGGTTTTTACCTTGTCGAAGAAATTATGATACGCAGCTACTTAACTGTGGCATTTTTGGATCTCTGTAGTGAACTACAGGTACAGAGACACAAATCTTTGGATCCATTAACTGCCTGTTGTGGTATGCTTTGGTGCTTATGTCCTCCTTTTGCCTCTCTAATTGTTGAGGCAATGAATGTTTTTTGTCTGAACAACTGGGAAATTCTTACTGTAGCCAACAATTTTATAGAAAAGTTTGCTAAACTTCATGTTTGTTAACCTTCTTGCAGTAAAATTGAAAACTCACAAAAAAAATGGTCTCAAATTCCAGAATGTTCTAAAGCAAAAGCAGACAGGACAAATGCAGGTCTTGAGAGTTTCCAAGTGAAATGCTCTCAACACCACCCCAGCACTTCCTAACCTTAACTTTCTTAACTTCTGAATAAAGATGCCCTACCAGGAGAAGTGCTACTTCTTAATCATGTGTTATTGACCCGCCTCTTGGTTTGGTCTTGCTTGTTCCCTGAAAATTATAAGTATTTTCTGCTATGAAAATCAGGTCCAAGCCACCCAAAAGAGATGAAAAGGAGCGGAAGAGGCGGAGCCCATCACCCAGACCTACAAAAGTGCATGTTGGAAGACTCACTAGAAATGTGACCAAGGTAATGCCATGCTCCCTGTCATGGGAGGCTCATGTATCATTTGTGAGGACATGCGAGTAGCTCTTTTGAAGCTCTCAAGACTTTGTTGCTGCCAAGGTGTTCCTTTTAGAAATTCTTGCTTTTTGTCCAAATGATCAGTGAGGAAATTTTTGGTAGGATTTTACCGAGTCAAATACAGTGCAGGCTTTTGCAGCTGTAGTGCTGGAGAGGTCTGTCTGCTTTGTCAGTGTTTCAGGCCTTGTATCCTACCTTCCTAGGAAGAAAGCTGTAGAACTTCTGAAATAACCTCGGAGGCATTAATGATGTATAGAGATTCTTGATAAAGGATCTGAAGAAAGCTGGGCTGGTTTGAGTTGTCTTTGTTAGAATGTAGCTCAAAGGTCTTCAGAGGTAAAGGGCTTCAGGTGCTGAAAAAAAAGTGTTTTAAGAAATATTACAGTTGCACCTTAAGAATTTTCAGCTGGGGGCATAAGCTCCATTTACAGGTCCCCAAGAAGATTTTTACACTAATTGTATTTTTGTAGCTGGTGTTGACACGCAGCAGTAATGCTGCTAGAGCTTAAGGTTTGGAACAATCTGAGGAGCTGAACATCAGTAGAGAAAGTAGTGGTAATCCTCCCGCATCTGGCCAATGAAGTTTGTTTTCCTCATGGTGGGATTCATCCAAAGCTGATCTAGTGCTATGGATTTACTGCTCTGCATGAGCCACATCTGGTCACTAAGTGTGGTCTGTGTCCTTAAGAGTTCCTCTTTCTCTGCAGGATCACATCATGGAAATTTTTTCCACTTACGGAAAGATTAAAATGATTGACATGCCAGTTGACAGGCTAAATCCACACCTGTCTAAAGGTTATGCTTACGTGGAGTTTGAGAACCCAGATGATGCTGAGAAAGCCCTGAAACACATGGACGGAGGTAGGTATCAAATGCTGCAAGGAGGCTGGGTGCTTTTAAAAGTCTTTGGAGCAGATGAGTTTGATCTGAAGGTGAGTTAGAGATGATAGGGATTCAGAAGTCTTTGGGGAACTGATCTCTGCCCAAAAGTCTTTGGCTTTTGTGTGCTTCAGGATAGATCCAAAACATAACAGAGCTACTAAAACTTGAGGGTTGGGGTTGGGCTTTTGTTTGGCACGTTTGTTTGTTTGGCACGTTTGTTTGTTTGGCACGTTTGTTTGTTTGGCACGTTTGTTTGTTTGGCACGTTTGTTTGTTTGGCACGCTTGTTCATTTTTCCCCAGAATAGTAATAAATTTCTTTAATTTTCTGTGAAAACCTTTCCCAATTAACATCTGAACTGCAGTGCGATAGGATGTCGGATTATGAAGTCTAGCATGTACATGGACTTTGTCAGAACAGTTCCTGAGTGGGTGGTGGGAATGGCACTGTTGGCTGATTCATGGTTCGGCTGCTGGTGACAAAGCTGTGAGTTTCAGTAATGTGATGTGTAGACATTAGTGTTGGAAAATACTTACTTCTTCCTGTTCCTGCGGTTCCCTAAAAAGGCCAGATTGATGGTCAGGAGATCACTGCCACAGCCGTGCTGGCACCACGACCCAGGCCACCTCCCAGGCGCTTCAGCCCACCCAGGAGGATGCTGCCACCACCACCAATGTGGCGCCGGTCCCCCCCTCGCATGAGGAGAAGGTGAGAGCTGTGACAACTTATATTTCCTTCTCAGTATAACAATAGGTTATCGCTGAAAGACTTATTTGGGCAACAGTTTCATCCTGTTGGACTTGACTTTCTGGTCCAAACAGCAGGAGCACCTTTTGGGTGTCAGTTGAACCTGGATTGTACTTTGGAAGTTGGTCACATGAGGATGACCTGCTCTGGCCTACACCCCAAACGCAGCCTCTTGGAAGTGTCAGGTGCCTTCCAGCTTGTTCCCTGGAGTCCCTTCTGCATAAATGCTTCAAGGTGGAGTGGGAAGGGACTTGTAGCTGGCAGAATGTGTTTGGCAGCCTGCTTCAGCCACTCGCTATTCTGCTGCCCTTGCACCTCCCTCCATTATTTCTGTGGATGGGCACATGGCCGAAAAGCATCAGTTGAGTGGAGAGCACTTGATCCCAAGATGTGACCCTGTGTGCCTGCGCCTGTTCTGTGTTTCAAGGCTGCCTGAACATGCTCTGATAATAAGTCTTCTGGAGTCTCCCTCAGCATCTGAATGGTCCTTGCTTGTGGCAGGCGGTTGGAACTGGATGAGCTTTAAGGTTCCTTCCAGCCCAGACCAGTCTGGGATTCTGCTGTTGGCTGCTCAGTCTTGGAAATGGGCTTAAACTCTGGTTGCTAGTAAAAGTGCCTCCAGTTTGAGGCACTTGCTGAACAGTTTATGATCTACAGATTTAAAAATGAGAACTTAATGTGGCGTGTGATCCACCACTGCCTATTGGTCCTCCTCTGAACATGCCTTTTACTGAGGCCTGGCAGGTGGTAGGTTTGACATTCCCTCCTCCTTGTTTGTACTCTTCCCTGGTCAGCTTCTGTTACCCTGCTCAGGATCCGTTAATACTCTGTGCCTGAAGCCTCAGTGTCATGCTGGTGGCTGTACAGATTGGTTGTAGTACTGAAGGGCTTGAAGCTTAACTGCTTCTTTAAAGTTAGACTTCCTCTAAGAAACATCCCTGTGGTTTGGAAGGGTTTATAGGAATCCTTTCCTTGAATACCACTGTACTTCAGGAGTCAAAGCTGACTTTTCAGGTGACAATCTGATATAGAATCAACTTGGGCTGGTTTTGCTTGAGGAAGAAGACGAGATTGTTGTCTGTTCTGTGGATATTAAACATTCATTCCACTTCTGGAGCAGAGGGAGGGTAGCCAGAATATCCCTGCTGTGTAGTCAGTGGCTTTTTCCTCTCTTGAGCTGGAGTGAAATACTCGCATCGTGGTGTGTGGGGTTGGAAGGAGTGTGTTTGAAAAACTGACAAATGACTGGAACCTGTTGCTCTTGTCTTGTAGCTAAAGGTTTCTCCTTCCTCTCTGCCAGGTCGCGTTCTCCAAGGCGTAGATCCCCTGTTCGCCGACGATCAAGATCTAGATCTCCTGGACGAAGGCGCCACCGGAGCCGCTCTAGCTCAAACTCCTCACGATAAAGCAAAAGAACTGGACAGCTGTTTAATTTTTAACTTAAATCCCATCAGACTAAATATTGTACCTTTTTTTTCTTTTTTTTTATATAATGGGTCTGGGTGAGGAGGAGTGTGAGAGAGAAAGAATCCTGGCAGTGAAGGAAACCTAAAAGGAGAGAGCAACAGCCCCTGGCCAGTGTATCACCTGTGCTGTAGGTTTCAAGTTTCCTGATATTGAATCAAAATGATTTTAAAATGGCTTTGATTTTTAAAGGACGCAAAAACATCTTTTCCTGCTAAATGAAAGGAAAATTTGGTGCAGTCTCTCTTTCTCCAGTTAGCAGGCTGCTGCTTGGTGATTTTGAAATGTTTAGCATGCTGTTACAGACCAGCATGTAAATCTTGAGCTACTTCAAAAACCCTGTGTGGTAAGACAGGAAGGCATTTAACCTGAGCTTGGGGTTCCAGCACAGAACTTCTCAGAGCAGCTGGAGCCCAGATCTGCTGAGACTTAAATTCCAAGCTGTTGCTTTATCACAGCTCCCAGACAGCTAGTTTCTAACAGCGAGCTCTTCTGCAGATTAAGCTCTTCTAACGCATAGACGAGAAGCAACAGTCCAGCCCATGAAACATCATGCTTTAGAAAAGAAGCCAGAAGTCTTAAGAACTGGTTTGTAGCGGCCCCTGTAAATCGATTTATTTCACGTTCCCTTAACGGGTTTTTGTAAAACCTCCCGCAGCCCTGGGTGGAACAGTGCTTCTGCTTTTACATGTCCCAAATTGACTGGGTGAATCCCTGGAGGCTGCTGAGCAGGGAGGTGCTGGCTGGATTAGCTGGGCTTCCCTTGGGAAGTGCAGAGGATTCACCGCCCTTTGTACAGTCAGTGCTATACAGATACTTTGGTTTGTTTTGTAAAACTTTGTAGCCTTTTGGGCCGTGTTGTGTTTGTACTTGTGTTAAGACTTGAATAAAGCAGTAGACTGAGAAGATCTGGCCTGCTTCGTTCCTGCTTCTGCCTGTCTCTTTTAAGACCTAACGGCGCCTTTTTCTGGCGTTACGCGGGCAGGCACCGCTGATTGGCTTTAGGAGAGGGCGGGCGGAAGTGGGACAGCGGCGTCTTTGCCGTTTGTGTCATGGCGGCGGCGGGGCTGGAGTGGGCTCTGCGGGAGGCTGCGCCGTGGCCGGGGCGGGCCGGGGAGGAGCAGGCGGCGGCGCTGGGCGCAGTGCGGGCCGCGCTGGCGGCGGCGGGGGGCGCAGCAGCCCTCGGGAAGAGAGAGCGGGCACTCTTTGGAGCCTTTTTGCGGAGCCTGGCCGGGGCGCCCCGCGCTGCGCGGCCCGAGGGCGTGTGGCAACGCTGCTTCCTGGAAGGGCCGCCCGTGCCCGTGTTCTGCGTCCTGCTGGAGACGCTCGGCTGCCCACGGTCAGTCCCCGCTGCGGGCGGATGTCACTCGGGGGCTGCCCGAGGCTCGTTCTTCGCAGCGCAGGAGGGAAGGGCGAGGGCGTCTCTCGCCTGTGAACAACGAGGGCATAAATATGCGGGCGACAGCACGGGGGAGGCACTGCTGTGCCCTCAGGTTTTCTGGTTTCAAACTCACATGCAGTGCTGGTGCTGCTCGCAGAGGTCACCAGGCTGGGTTTAGCAATGCTGGCAGGGTGTCCTGAGACATTAGGGGCTGAGGAGGCTGAAGACCAAAGAGATTAAAATAGATTCGATTTTAATATTATTTTGATTAAAATTCTGATACAGCAGGAGTGTTGTCGTGGTGAGACCACAAACAGTATGCACGTCTCTGTCAGTTAAGAGGGGCAGGGGCTTACTGCTGTTGCTCTCTTCCAGCCCTAGCCTACATCCGAGAGAGGTGGTGGAGGTTCTGGAGCAGTTCCTGCAGGAGGGACGGATGTTGGCTCTGCTGTGGGAGGTCTGTCAGCAGCCAGTCCAGGCTGGCTCCCAGGAGCTGCAAGAGGCCCTGCTCAACAGGATTGTGTGTTTGCCCAGCCACGTGAGCAATAAACTGGAGGGGAAAAACCCACCAGTGTTCTTCCCCCAGAACTACTTCCCTCTCTTGGGTGGTGCAATTATCCAGGTGCTGCAGAAGATCTCTGATTATCTAAGAGGTAAGATTGCATGAGGAATGTGCTATGGAGATGGCACTTTTGAAGAGGTGTTTTGTGCATGGACCCCATTGGCTGATGCTAACAGGTATTGCAGAGCTTCAGGTTCATCCTTGAGGCTGAAGTTCATTGTGCTTAAAAGCATAAGGTACTAGGGATGAGGAAGATGGCCATGGTTTTTTAAAATCCCACTGAAAGCTGCAATCCTATAAGTAATGTATTAGGACAAGGGGGAATGGCATTAACCTGACAGAGGGGAGATTGAGATGGGATCTTAGGAGGAAGCTCTTCACTGTAAATGTTGTGAGGTGCTGGCACAGATTGCCCAGAGAAGCTGTGGCTGCCCCATCCCTGGCAGAGGGTTAGAACTGGATGAGCTTTAAGGTCCCTTCCAACCCAAACCAGTCTGGGATTCTGTGATTTGTTGACAAAGCTTAACTGTGGTCATTTGGTCTCTGCTGAAGGAGTCATATGGGAAATTTAAACGGTAATGAGTGACACTGTGGCTGTTACCATTGTGTTAAAGAGGGACTGAGCTACTTTAGTCCTCTGACTCAGTGGTTTGTGCCTGAAGGCAGGTGGTGGAGGAAGAGATGATGCTTGAAGAGAGTATTTTCAGTCTTCAGCACTTGCAGAACCTCCTTAAGGTTGTTTGAAGGGTGCTGGTAATGCCCTTGTTAAGCTTGTGTCTGTTTTATCCCAGGTGGCTTGGATTGCTCAGTCTCTTTTGTTTCTCATGTCTTGGGGAAGGTATGCGCTCATGGAAGACAAAGTGAGTGTTTCACAATCCTGTTCTGGGGAGGGAAATGTCTGTTTTACCATATTAGGGCAGAAGGATGGCAGTGATGATTGGCAGAGGAAGTGGGAGACTGACCAGTTAATGCTTTGGGAGTTATATGAGTTGGGATGTACAGGCTGCTCTCTGCTTTCTGAGGTCAGCTACGTATCTGATAGATGTTGATGCTTTTCTGTCAGCTTCTGTCAATGTGATCTGTTCTCTCAAAGACTGATAAGGTAATAAGCTGCCTCATCCTCCCATTTGGGGCAAAACTATTAAATGTTCTTTTAGGGCTTTTCACCCAGTGCTCTGAAACGCCTTGTAAGTACCAGCAGAAATCACTCCTATGGGAGTAGCCTTCAGTCTGGCTTTGCTTAGGATTTTGAAGCCACTGAACACAGAAGCAGTGAACAGGGCTGGGGAAGAACAGGAAAGATTTTTTAGCTGTTTAGTGTCATGAGGAATACTTGAAAGTTCCTTAGCCTGCTTAGGTTAGTTTTTGCCAGAGGAGCAATTTAGAACTACAGTCTCTATATTGTATTTTTTCATCTTGTAAGGATGTTGACCTTGAGTACTGTTGCACCAGTTCTGGCCATCTGGTGTATTTACCTGTTTCCTTTTATGCTTCAGAGGAAATCCTGAGCATTCTGGTGCCTGGCCTGATGGAGCTCACCAAGTCAGACTGCATCTGGCAAAGAATTTGCTGGCAACTGGTTGAATGTGTGCCAGACCGCTGGGTGGAGGCGGTGGTCCTTGGTTTTGTGCAGCAAACACCTGGGTAAGAACTCTGCTTTCCTCCCTGATCTGGAGCAAAGTCTGGAAGTTTTCCATGAATACTTGCAGAATCAGTGTCTGAAAGATGCTGGGGTGTGTTTGTGCAGGTGGTTTCTTCCCAGTTCCTGAGAGACTCCGGGGTTCTAAAGTAGCTAATTGTCACCTCTCATGTAGAACATCCACCATTCCTTAAAGATCTGTGTTGTGACTTACAGTGAAAAACCAAGTGTAAACATTCCTTGCAATTACTCACTTACTCTTGAAGTTTAGCAGTGTTTTAGAGACTGTTGCAAATAGCTACTCACAGAATTTCCTGATTAGTCGCAGCATGACAGTAATTCCATGGATTCCTAATGTTTTGCTCTTGTCTTGATTTGCTAGGGCAGATGTCCTGTCTAGGCTGCTGGGAAACCTGGTTGTGAAGAACAAGAAAGCTCAGTTTGTGGTGACACAGAAGGTGCTGCTCTTGCAGTATGGCCACACGGTGAGAACTCTGCCTTGAACAGCAGCGTGGGAATGCCTTTTTTTTCCCCACGTGCCAGTGTGTTTTCTAGCTGAGCTGCAGGTCTTCATGGGTAAGATTTAACTCTTTGCTCTGAAATCAGTCTCTCCGCACATACCTGAGCTGTGTAGTTACAGTATCACAGTATGTTAGAGATTGGAAGGGACCTCAAAAGATCATCTAGTCCAATCCCCCTGCCGGAGCAGGAACACCTAGATAAGGTTACACAGGAACGTGTCCAGGCAGGTCTTGAATGTCTCCAAAGAAGGAGATTCCACAACCTCCCTGGGCAGCCTGTTCCAGTGTTCTGTCACCCTCACTGAGAAGAAGTTTCTTCTCAAGTTAAAGTGGAACCTCTTGTGTTCCAGTTTGTACCCATTTCCCCTTGTCCTATCATTGTTTGCCACTGAGAAGAGCCTGGCTCCATCCTCGTGACACTCCCCCTTTATATATTTATATACACTAATAAGGTCACCCCTCAGTCTCCTCTTCTCCAAACTATAGAGACCCAGCTCCCTCAGTCTTTCTCATAAGGGAGATGCTCCACTCCCTTAATCATCTTAGTTGCCCTGCGCTGGACTCTCTCCAGCAGGTCCCTGTCCTTCTTAAACTGAGGAGCCCAGAACTGGACACAGTATTCCAGATGAGTTCTCACCAGGGCCGAGTAGAGGGGAAGGAGGACCTCTCTCGACCTACTAACCACCCCCCTTCTAATACACCCCAGGATGCCATTGGCCTTCTTGGCCACAAGGGCACAGTGTCGGCTCATGGTCACCCTGTCGTCCACCAGGACCCCCAGGTCCCTCTCCCCTACACTGCTCTCTAACAGGTCGTTCCCCAACCTATACTGGAACCTGGGGTTGTTCCTGCCCAGATACAGGACTCTACACTTTCCCTTGTTATATTTCATCAAATTATTCCCCGCCCAACTCTCCAGCCTGTTCAGGTCCCTCTGGATGGCAGCACAGCCTTCTGGCGTGTCGGCCACCCCTCCCAGCTTAGTGTCATCAGCAAACTTGCTGATAGTACACTCAATTCCCTCATCTAAATCGTTGATGAATATATTGAATAATACTGGTCCCAGTACCGACCCTTGAGGCACTCCACTAGATACAGGCCTCCAACTAGACTCCGCCCCATAGACTACAACTCTCTGGCTTCTCTCCTTCAGCCAGTTCACAGTTCACCTCACTACCCGATCATCCAGACCACACTTCCTCAATTTAGCCGCAAGGATGCTGTGGGAGACCGTGTCAAACGCTTTGCTGAAGTCGAGGTAGACCACATCCACCGCTCTACCATCATCCATCCACCGTGTTATTTCCTCATAGAAGGCTACAAGATTGGTCAAGCACGACTTCCCCTTGGTGAAGCCATGTTGACTGCCCCTCATAACCCTCTTATCCTTGATATGCCTTAAGATGGCACCAAGGATAAGGTGTTCCATCACTTTCCCAGGAATGGAGGTGAGGCTGACCGGTCTATAGTTACCCGGGTCCTCCTTCTTGCCCTTTTTGAAGACGGGAGTGACATTTGCTTTCCTCCAGTCCTCAGGCACCTCTCCCGTTTCCCAAGACTTGGTAAAGATGATGGAGAGCGGTCTAGCAATGACCTCCACCAGTTCCCTCAGCACCCGCGGGTGCATCCCATCTGGACCCATGGATTTATGGATGTCCAGATTGCTCAACTGGTCTTTAACCCATTCCTCATCGACTAAGGCAGACCGCTCCATTGACCTGTCTTCATCTGAGGTCTCAGCGGTACAGGGCTCTTCAGGACTGCCTCCAGCAGAGTAGACAGAGACAAAGAAGGCATTCAGTAAC